CTCTCGTCTCCCTCTCCTGCTCTGCCGTCATGGCCCCCCCCCACCTCTCTGGCCCTCTCTATGTCTGCCACTCTCTAGCCCCCCCCCCCCCCTCTCTCCATCTCTGCCGCCCCCTCCCCTCGTCCCTCTCCCCCTACTTCCCCTCTCCCTCATCCCCCCCTCTATCCCCTCTCTCTCTCTTCCCCTTTCTGCTGTCTTTCTCTTCCTTCTCCTTTCTTCTCTCTCTTACGTTCTCGCCTCCCTCTCTCTCTCTCTTTCTCTTTCTCCCTCCTTTCCTCCCTCTCTCGTCATCCTGCCTCTCTGGCCCCCCCCCCCCCACCCCCCCCCCCCTCTGTCCTTCTTCCCCTCCTCTTGTCCTCACCTGTCCCTCTCTTTCTCTCTTTCCTCTCTCTCTTCTCTCTCTCTCCTCAACACTGATTTCTCTCCTCTCCTCTCCTCCCTGTCCCTCTCTTTCCCCTCCCGCCCTGTCCCTACTCGTGTCCCAGCTCTTCCCTGTCCCCCTTCCCCCCCCTCCCCCCCTACCCTCTCTCTCTCCGCTCTCTCCTTCTCAACTCCCTCCATCCTCCCAAGAAAGGAAAAAACTCTCTCGTCTCTCTCACCACCTCTCGTCTCTCTCGGCCTCTCTCTCTCTCTCTCTCTCTCCCCCTCCCTCCTTCCACTCATCTCTCCCTCTCCCCCCTCTCTCTTTTCCTTCCTTCCTTCCCTCCCTCGTCCTCTTCTTTCTCGTCCCGATCTCCCTCTCTTTTCCTCTCTTGTCCTCTCTCTCAGTCTCCCTCTCTTTCCCCCCCTCTCTCTCTCTCTCTCGTGAGTCATCTCTGCTCTCATCATGATCTTAAGCCTCTCCTCTCTCTCCCCTCCTCCTCTGATCCCTCTCTTCTCTCTCTCCCCTCTCTCTCTCTCCCTCTCCACCCCCCGCCTCATCTCTCCCTCTCGCCCCCCCCTCTCTCTCTCTTCTTTCCTCTCTTCCCATTTTCTCTCTCGTCTTTCTCATCTCTCACTTCCCTCTCCCTCTCTCTTCTCTCACTCCCTCTCCCTCTCTCTTTCCCTCTCCCTCCCTCTCTTCTCTCACTCTCTCTCTCTCTCTCACCCTCTCTCTCTCTCCCTCTCCACACCCCCCCCTCTCCCTCTCTGATCTGCCGCCCTGTCTCTCTCTGCCCCCCCTCCCCCTCTCCTCTCTCTCTCTTTCTCTCTCCCTTTCTCTGTCTTTCTTTCTCTCCTTTTCTCTTTCTTTCTCTCTCTCTTTCTCTCACTTCCCTCTCTCTACTCTCTTTCTCCTCACTTCCCTCTCCCCTCTCGTCTTTCTCTCACTCCCCTCCCCTCTCTCTTTCTCTCAATGAGTCCCTCTCCCTCTCTCTTTCTCTCACCTCCTCTCCCCTGCTCTCTTTTCGCTCACTCCCTCTCCCTCTCTCTTTCTCTGCACCTAACTCCTTCTCACCTCTCATCTCTTTCTCTCACTTTTTTTCACGTCCCTCCTCCCTCCTCATTTCTCTCACTCCCTCTCCCTCTCTCTTTCTCTCACTCCCTCTCCCTCTCTCTTTCTCTCACTCCCTCTCCCTCTCTCTTTCTCTCACTCCATCTCCCTCTCTCTTTCTCTCACTCCCTCTCCCTCTCTCTTTCTCTCACTCCCTCTCCCTCTCTCTTTCTCTCACTCCCTCTCCCTCTCTCTTTCCCTCTCCCTCTCTCTCTCTTCTCTCGTCATCTCCTCACCTCTATTCTCTCAGTCTCTCTCGGGCTCCTCTCGAGTCTCTCGTCTCGTCCGCCGCTTCTCCGTCTCATCTTTCTCATCTCTCTCTCGCTCCTCTCGTCCGCTCACTCCACAATCGCACTCTCGCTCCCGAGAGCAGCCATCTCCCTTCCATCATCGTCTCGTCTCTCCTCAACCCTCGAACCTCTCTCGGTTCCTCTATCTCTCCGTCTACCGCATCTCTCTCTCGTTCTCTCCTCTCTCTCTCACTCTCCCTCTTCTCCGCTCTCTCTTCTCCCTCTCTCTCTCTCTCTCTCCCTCTCATCTCCCCCTCTCCCTCTCCCTTCTCCCTCTCCCTCTCTCTCGCCCTCTCTCTCTCCTCCCTCCCTCCCTCCCTCCCTCCCTCCTCTCTTCCCTCCCCTCCTCTCTCCCTCTTCATCTCATCCCTCCTCTCTCCCTCCCCTCTCTCTCTCTCCGTCCCTCTCTCTCTCCCTCCCTCTCTCTCTCCCCCTCCCTCTCTCTCCTCCGTCCCTCCTCTCTCTCCCGCCCTCTCTCTCATCCCTCCCTCTCTCTCTCCCTCCCTCTCTCTCCTCCCTCTCTCTCTCCCTCCCTCTCTCTCTCCCTCCCTCTCTCTCTCCCTCCCTCTCTCTCTCCCTCCCTCTCTCCCTCCCTCCCTCTCTCCCTCCCTCCCTCTCTCTCTCCCTCCCTCTCTCCCTCCCTCCCTCTCTCCCTCCCTCCCTCTCTCCCTCCCTCTCTCACTCTCCATCTCCGAGAGAGAGAGAAAGAATTATTTATATTTATGTTCTGGCCCCTGTA